TGCAGAGAAGGATTCACAATGAAATCAGTTCTTTAATATATAACGACGATTCAAAATTATTTATCAACCCTGAAATGATACGGTATTCTTATATGTGGAATGTAGTTTACATATTCTCGAACCTGAAATGTTACGAAATTCCGGTACGTGGAATGAGGTTTATTTAATAAAATTCAAAATTTTTCACATTCATTCTGTCAATATAACAGATAGATTTTATGTTCTTATATTACTCTACGCATCACGGTATAGTAAACACATTTATTGTTCATAAAAAATATCATCTAATATTATTTATCTAGCATGGAATACTACAAGGTTCGGTAGAGGAATGAGGTTTACATTTGACCGTTCAAAATTCTCCACAGTCATTCTGCCAATATGTAATATCGAACACATGATTTCATATTGCTGTACGCATAGCGGTGTTCACAATAAACACCATTCGTTTCTACAAAAAGTCATTTGAAATTATTCACCTCGCCTGAAATATTACGGTGTTCCGTTACGTCAAGTGACGTTCACATATGAACATTCAAAATTTTGTACACTCATTCTGTCGATATACCATAACGGTTTTGTGGTTTTATATCATTTTCCGCATGGTGGGGTTCACAACGTATTTTTTTTGCACGACGATTTTACTGCACATAATCATCTAATATTATTTATCTGGCCTGAAATATTACGGTGTTTCATTACGTAACATGAGGTTTACATATGACCATTCAAAGTTTCCTACATTTACGCATTCATTATATCATTCGATTTCATACTGTTATATCATTCTACGCATGGCGAGTTTCACAAGTTATGATTTCTTTGTACATAGAAATTATCTAATACAATTTTGCGAGACAAAAATACTACCGTATTCTTGTAAGTAGAATTATGTCTACATATGTACATTCACAATTCTACATTCATTCTATCAACATATCATATGAATTTTACGGTCCTGCATTATCCTACGCGGGGTACACAATGAACATCATTTCTTTGTACGAACATGTCATCTAATATTATTCATCTAGCCTGAATATAATCGGCCATTTCGTGTTCTACCATTCCAATGGTTTTCATGAAAACTATTGTTTATGATCATCAATGAAACTATTGTCTTACATAAATAAAATTCAGTGCTACTTACCTATCCTGAAATATGACGTCTTTCCTGCACACGAAATGAGGTTTACATATGTATGTCGCGCATTTTCCACGCTTATACTGTCAATATGTCATATAGATATATAGTCTTATATTATTCTATAAATCGCGGTGTTCACAATGTTGTCCATTTTCTTATACATAAATATCATCTAATATTATTCATCAAGGCTGAAATATTACCGACTTTCGGTTGAAGTGAAGTTTACATATGGTCATTCAAAATGTTCCACATCCATTCTGTCAGCTTATCAAGTCGATTTAACGGTCTTGAATTATTATATGCATCGCGGGCTTTACAAGAAACACAATATTTTACACATGGATATCGTCTAATGTTATTTATCTAGCCTGAAACTCTACGGAGTTACGGAACGTGTAATGATTTGTAATAATTTGCGTATAAAAGACTTTCCACATTCAATCAGCCTATATATCGATTTTACAGTCCTATATTATTCTACGCATTGCTGGGTTCACAGTGAACACCATATTTTGTAAATAAATATCATCTAATAACATTTACAGGGTCTGAATTTGTTCGGAGACACCGCACGTGGAATGAGTTTACGTACGACGTTTCATAATATTATGCATTCATTCTGTCAAGATACCATATCGTTTTTATCGTCATATATTACTCTACGAATCGCGGGATTCACAATGAAAATCATTATTTTGTGTGTGTGTGTGTGTGTGTGTGTAATCTAATACAACATATCATGCCTGAAATATTACGGTGTTTCTGTTCGTGGAATGAATTTTAAATATATCAGATAAAAATTGTAGATATTCATTCTGTCTACAAATGATGTCGATGTGGAGGTGCTATATTATTCTACACAACGCGGGAATCATTATGGACATCATTTTCTGTACATAGATATTGTCTAATATTTTTTATGATGCTCCGAAGTATTTTGGAGTTCTGGTTCGTGGAGTGAAGTTTATTACTTACCATGCCCGAAATATTACGGACTTTAGGGACTTGGAATCAGGTTTACATATGACACTTGAAAATTTTCTATAAACATGGTGTAAAGACATCATATCAATCTGATGGCCTCATATTATTGAACTGATGGCGGTGATCACTATAAACACCATTTTATTGATACATAAATATCATCTAACCTTATTTTTCGAGCCTGTAATGGATTTCCGGTATGTGCAATGAGGTTTACAAATGTGGTTTCAAAATTTTCTGCATTCACACTTTCACGATATCATATCTACCTAATGCTCTTATATTATCATACGCATTGTGGAGAACCATTCTATTTTACATAGATATCATCTAAAAGTATTTATCGATCCTGAAACATAACCATTCGTTACGTGGAATAAGGATTGCATATGACCTTCCAGTTTTTGACATTCATTCTTTCAATACATTATATCGATCTGTTGGCCTTAAATTATTTTACACATCGCGGGTATTTGTACGAACACAATTTTATTGGTCATAAATATCATCTAATACTATTTACCGGTCCTGAAGTATTACGGTATTCCGGTATGTCTATTGAGGTTTACATATCACCATGCAACACTTACGACATTACTTCTGTCAA